ATATATATATATATATATATATATATATATATACGCGAATAGAATACGTTGTAATAAAATACATCTAATTTCAATACAAAAGCATGTTAAAACGTTTAAATTACACGAAAAATTTCGTGCTTCGATCGGGCAAACGTTGCACGATCCTGAAATTGCAACTGGGCGGAACTCTTAAACAAACTTTGGTAAATGCGCAACATTCTTTGTGCATTTTGTGCATATTCGAAAGCACAAAGATAGACATGCTGTTTGTTTGCATGTTGCGCTCGCGGCAGCTTTCATATGAACCCGTTCCTCCTTTCCTCTGTCTCTTTATTTTTCATACCTTGATGCACCTTTACCAGCCAACCTGCCCCGTTTTTCATTTGCCCGAGCTCCTCGACTTTCCCTTTCTCTCTTCCTCCCTCCTACCCTGCTTCCTCCCTTTTCCTTCACGATCGTTTCCATTCTTATTTGTACTCCGTGTTTTACTTTCATTCTGTCCCACTGATTCGCCCCGACTTTTCACCCCTTTATACCTTTTTTAACGCGCACTTCCGTTTATACGGCCACTTTCCGGCCCTCTTGTTTGTCTCATCATTCGCTTCATCCCCTTCCTTTACCTTTGTGCCATTTTTTTCCCTCCCCCTTCTACCATTTTTATCCTTCCCCCCTTTGAATCAAATTTTTTAATACTCTCGAGTTTTACGGAGTTTTATATGTTTCCTCAAAAAAAAAAAAATAAATTATTTATTTTTTCCTTATCTTGTATCAAATTGTAACTAAAGAGTTCTGAATCTTATACGTTATATGTGTGTAGAATATTTGAATCGTTAGATGCATGAATTTCAATGATAAACGAATCTTATTATATTAAATAATGATTGAATGATCTTTCGTTCCAATGCATTAAATCTTCCTTATCATCTCCTTTAATTCTTTACCCACACATGCATCGCTCTCGATTTTTCCCAAAATCGCGAACAGATCCGCGTATATGAGATAAGTCACGTTGTCGAATAACAAAACAGGGACATCGGATACGAAAACCCCCTCCATGTCGCACAACGAATGCAATTTGTCGGCACCGTGTTTAATTACAGCCGAGGATGGTGGCAGGGATGGTGAACGCGCGAACACGCTTCTCCCATCAAACTGATCACAGTTCCATCCCACAGAGGATTCCTCGTGACAAATATAGGATACACCAAACGTCCCTCAACGTTTCAGTTATAATAATAATACTCTGGAAAAGAATATTTTGAAACGATACGTGGCTGAAGTTTCGTCCAAAACACGATTGAACTTTCTTCTGATATATTGCATTCAGTTTAGAATTTTGCCATTATACACAGGAGGAATATTATTTTTAAATATCTGTTGTTAAATTGATGGTATATGATATATATGAAATCGAGTTTGGTTTGAAATCGAATCGTGATATTTTGTGTTTAAACTAAAATTGTTTAAGGAAGGCAGAAAGGATTAAAATTTCTTCTCGTTGTTTTATTATAAATTATATTAAATCAATTTGCCGCAATTAATTTTTAAATTTGTTCATCTTGCTGCTCGATTCTTGATCATCATCATTATAGTCATATCTTTAATGATTCGATGGATCATTTCAAGCTTCACCCTTCTTTATCATTGACGAGTTTTCTTAAGGAAAAAGATTTATCAACAAATATAAATAAATGTTATTGATACAAAATTGTTTAGGATAATTATACTATTCAATGATTCGATTTATATAGTTTTATATAGATTCGAAACCGGAAACGACAGGATGACACGTAACGTCAAAACATTCTTACAGAACTGTGATTAATATTGTTGTTATCGATATTCAATAAAAGCGTTTCCATGTTTCACACTATAATATTCAAAGCGAAATTGTGCATGGACGGTGGTGATCGAATGATGAAAAATTCCTGACTGAATTCTGAACTCCACGTTTCAATGACAAAGTTAAAACGAGATCTGTTAACTTCGTTCATCATCATTTTATCAAATTGAAATTATTATTGCAACAACGGAATTCTCGGACTATTTTCAAAACGTCTTAACGATTTTTCTCCTTCGAAAAAATCGTTGTCCTTCTCGGCTATTAATTAAGCGTCAATGGTATCGATAAATTATGTCCGCGAAATCTGTTATACCGTTAATTAACCGTGCCTTATTTATCTTCATATTTATGATTGTCCACGTTTCTACAGCTCGACAAGTTATTATCGAGTGCTCAAACGTCGAGTTATTTTTTTTGCCGGTGAAATGGTAGTTGAATGAGTTTCTAACGGAAGTACGTGATATTGGAGATTCCACGCTTATTATACTTAATAAGGAGGTAAGAAAAAATCAGCGTGTAATAGGTGAAAATAGTGAAGTTCAAGATGAAATGGAGGAATCTTGAGGAATGTTGTAAAATATATGATGTTTAAATGTAATTAAGATGTTCCACACGTTTTGAGAGATGTTCCAGGAAAAGCAGCTTTTCCAACTGGTATGTGTACGTGTTTAGTAGTTCCAACTATTTGTTATTTTAATATTCATTCGTTTCCTTATTCTGCGTAGCGAAATTTTTCTATTCTTTC